ACAGGAGGAATCTGACAGGCCGCTTTTGGGGAGCCCACAAACCCTTGGAGCCTGTGGAGGAGCTGGGCACGTGTGTGTTGGGGTACGGGGCGCAGACCCTGAGTGTGAGCTGAGTTTCCCGTTGCCCTGGCACATGGGGCTCAGCAGTGACCGTGCCTCAGGGCTGGGGGAATGTCTTGCCTCACCGAGGTCATTTTACCAGCAAGATGATGAGATCACGGTTCCTGTCTTCTCGAAGAAAGGATTTTGATCAAGAGACAAAGTGCAGCTCTGGCCGGTTTGGCTCAGTGGTTAGAGTGTCGGCCTGTGGAACAAAGAGTCCCAGGTTCGATTCTGGCCAAGGGCATGTACCTCGGTTGCAGTTTGTCCTCGGCCCTGGTTGGTCGTGCGGGTGGCAGCCACTTGATGTGTCCCTTCACGTCGATGTTTCTCTCTCTCTCTCTCTTCCTCTCTCTCCCTCCCGCTCTGTCTGAACAAAAAATGGAAAAATGTCCTCGAGTGAAGATTAAAAAAAGAGAGAGAGAGACAAAGTGCAGCAAAGCCAGCAGGAGTTTACTGGCCGCAGCCAAACCGCACTCGGGACAGTGGACCGAGGAGGGCAGAGCAGCCGCAGCAGAGCCTAGGCTGGGCTGCTCTGGCTCCCTGGGGAGTCAGGGAAAAGGGGGCCTTGGAGACAGGTTCAGGGGCAACCCCGGGACGAGCTGCCACTGCCCATTGCTGCCCTGGTTGCAGGTCCCTTCAAGTTTAGGAGGGACGTGCCTGTGGGGGAAGGACAGAGGGAGGGGAATGTCCCGGGCATGCTCCCCCAGGGGACAGCGCTTGCTGGTCCTTTCGTTAAGGGTGTTTCTCTCCCCCGTGCAGGTGGGAATCTCAGGGTTAGGGTCTCAATAGAATATTCATCAGCTTTCCAGGTGTGCCCTTTCAGGGTCACGGTCTCCACTGATTGGTCAGCACCAGGGCAGGGGGTCACTGTCCAGTGCAGCGGGTCCTGAGGCAGACATGGTGTCACTTGTCTGGTTTTGCCTGGAGCTGAAATACCACTGAGGCCTAGATGTTATCTTTAGGGAGGAGAGTTCAGGGGGTCTAAACCGCATGACCAGCGATATGCTAGGGGGGGAAGGTTATGCGGGGTGAGGGCCTTGTTTTCTGTTTTGCCCCCGTGCTAGGCACGCAGGACCTCCTGTCCCTGGCCCATCCTCCTTGCTCTGCTCACGCCTGTGAAACCGCCTGTAGCAGTCAGATTACACAGACAGTGTGTCCTGTGGCAGCCTGGGAGGTAAGGGGTGGAGAGAGAGGTGAAAGTTTAATCTGAAGATGGGCCAGCCCCAGTCCTGCTGGGTCCGGGAGGCCCACTCCACACAGAGGAAACCTTGGACCCAGAACCTGCTCTCACAGAGCACCGGGGTTCGGGGCAGGGACACTCAGATCCCCTTCCCACTTTCCCAGAGCCCGGAGGGGATGCTCCGGTGTGGAGGGAGCCAAGGCAGGGGATTGCAGGGGGTCCCCCCGCCATGTGCAGGGTCCGGATGGATGCCCTCTCTGCCATAGCTGCTCCGCCCAAGCAGGAGCTCGGAGACTCTGCCCTGAGCCTGTGGGAGGCACCAGGCAAACAGAGGAGCAGCAAACTAAACATGCTATTAGCTGCGAGGAGAAGCCACGATTATCTGCACAGCTGTCAGAGCCTCTCCCAGCCCCTCACACTCCTCCGCCTTCCCGGCTCTGCCTTCCGAAGGACGTCCAACCCGGAGGGAAAGGCGGCAGGACCGGCATTTCGGGCCATCGCTGCCTTCCCCGGGAGCTGGCCTTACACCTGGAGACAGGGGACCCAGAGGCAAGGCCACCCTGGGCCTGGTCCCCTCTAGCTGGGCCCTTGTTTCTCAAACTGCAAGCAGGGAAGGTGACACCACTCGCAGGGCCGCTGGGAGGGTCCGGTGAGGCGCGTGTTAAAGCACCTTGCGGGTGGAGGGTCGTGGGGGCTCCCCCGTCAGAAACCTGCAGGGGCTCGCACTGTTGGTCTCTTCACACAGAATGACGCTGGGGCTTAGGGAGGTCAAGCAATTTGACCAAAGTCACACTGTAAACAGATGTAGGTCTCAGTTTCTGATGTTGGAGCCAGGACCACCCCCACGCATGCTGCACACGGGGACCCGAGGTCCAAAAAAGTGGCCACAGAGAGGATGGAGGGCAGACACACTTCCCAGCCACTGCCCAGAGGCCTTGTCCTCCGCTGGGGACAGCGGGCTGGAGGGCGCAGCTGAAGAGTGACCCCATGCAGAGAACTGAGGATGAACCCCAGCAGCCTACCCGGGTTTCCTCGTCTCGGGGTGCCTCTTGCGGACCCAGGCCATGGCCTAGAGCAGTACACCTCTACTGGTGGACAGGCGGGGGCCACGGCCCGGTGGCGAGGGATGCATCTTCAGCCTGGCAGGTTGCCCCTTCCGAAGGGAACCTTGGCTATGCAGCACCTTCCCCCAACCCTGCCGCTGCCCTCACCCCTCCGACTCGGTGTCCCCACCTGACAGAGGAGAGCACCTGGGCCTGGGGAGAGACCCGGGGAACTGGGAGGAGAGAGGAGTGAGGGCAGGTGCCCGAGGACCCAGCCCGCCCGCCCACCCCAGCCCCGCAGCCTCCCGAAAGCGCTGGTGCTCCCAGGAGCGGGGCTGGGGAGGCCGGAGGATGATCCACTGAGTGGGAGGGGTTCTGAGGGTGGCGGGTGACTCACAGGGCAGTGGGGGATAGAAAGCTTCTCTGGAACCAAGTGGAAGGGAAGGGGGCTGGTGAGTCAGGGACCACGGGCGAGGGTGCGTGGGGAGAGAGCTCACCCCTGTCAGACAGCACGGTTCGCACCCAGCCCTGCGCACGGGTGATCTGCCGCGTGCCTCTCCTCCCCCAGCCGTTCTACCAGAGGGTGGCCTTCATGCCCCCTTGGCTCGCATGGCCTCTGGCGCTCCTGGTGCCCAGATGAATGACCCATCCTGCCGCATAGTGTCCAGGGCGGTCACTGCAGACCTGCGGGGAGTCTACAGGGCAGGCCCAACCCACTGACACCCGCCGTGAGCCCCCACCAACAGTCAGTGCCTCACCCCTGGGCCTTCTTGCTCCCTGGCGCCCTCTTCCTCCTTATCCTGGGCTGGGCTCCGTGACTGTGATTGCCTGACTCATTCTCACCGACGCCCTGTATCCCGGGATGTCCTGACACTTGGCCCTGGCGGGGCCCAGAGGAGCAGCCTCTGCTCAGACTGTGGGATCTCATGTCCCAAAGAGAGGCTCCCACCCAGACAAAGGCAAGAGAGAGGTAAGTTGATGGAATCAAACCTTGGCTTCAGCCTATGCCCTCCCTCCCCCGTCCTCAGCCCCATCCCCCACACCCTCCTCCCAGGCCGCCTTTCCTGACATCCAGCCCATTACCAGATCTCCCCTCAGCCTCACTACTGATCCCCACCCTGCCCCGCCTTCACTCTTCGCTGTCCAGGCCACTGTCCCCTTCACTCTTTGTCTGGAGCCAGCCAGTCAGCTCCATCCTGAAATGGAAATCCATTCACGGGGAGTGGAGCAGGGGTTCATGCTTTTTTTCCCTCTCCACCCATCCATCCATCCATGCATCCATCCATCCAGTAGAGTTTCGGGATGCTTGGTGAGGTCACCCTGTGCATGTGGGTCTCTGGGAACATCAGCTTGTTCTCCATGATGTCCCCCGTGCCTAGAAGTCAGCACAAAGTCAGTGTATAATATTTGTTGAGTGGCAGGTGAGTAAAAGAATGAATGGATGGACCTTCCCCTGGAGAATGGGAGTGGGCCCACCAGCCCTCATCTACAATTCTGGATGATCCAGGTCACCTCCCTGGCCATGCAGACGTGGAGCTCAGGCCCAGGGAAGGGCTGTGACTTGCCTGAGGTCAGGACAGGTCCAGGTTGACCAACCCTGTTCTGAACCCTGTGTTCAAGCTCTGAGCAGCAGGAGCCCAGTGCCCGGGGGTAAGCCAGAGGTCAGAGTCAGGGCAGAAGCTTGGGGGCCAGGATGGGTGCCCACAAAAAAGAGGTAGATCCAGGCCGCACCAGGCAGATGCTGCAGAAATCTGCTCTGAGGCCGGGCCCGCCTGAGCTGGTGGATACACCTGGCGGGTGTGTGTGTGTGTGTGTACGCACATTGGGTGGCAAAGCTGTCCCAGCTTCTCAGGGGAGTGTCAGATCCTCAGCTGGCATTGCAGCCTGGCCACAAAGAGGATGGGCAGGTTCGGGCCTCATCCCCTCTCTGCTCTCTGAGTTAAACAAAGGCACTGGGCTTGATGTGCTCTTCAGGGTCACCAGGAAGTGCTGAAAATGTACGTTTCAGGCTTGTCGCTACAGATCCTGGCCCAAGGCATCTGTGGATGACTCAGGACCTGCTGCTCACTCATTTGGGGAAATGGGGCGGAATGACCGCAAAGGCCCTTGGCTGGAGCCACCTCAGGAGGTCTGCTTCTGGGCAGGCCACCTCACAGCCTCAGGCTTCTCACCTGACAAATGGGAGGACTCAGAGAATCCCTCAGGGTTGGCAGGTCCCCTGGGAGGTGATGTAGTGACAGCGCTTAGCCACATAGCCAGACACCAACAATCGAGGGACATGAGTCGGTTGGAATTCATTTCTGCTCAGCGGCACCTGACAGATTGGGAGCTTGTTTCCCTCTCACGCCTGCCTGTGGGGAGCCTGGAATCAACTCAGTGGCTCTGCTCTGGGAGGGGGTGTCTCAGAGGTCCAGAGAGCCCCACCCAACCCCAGCCCTGTCACCACCCAGCAGCTCAGGGTGAGAGGAGGCACCTGCCGAGCTCCCGCCTCCCTCCCCTCGGCACTCAGTGCACTGGCTTCTCTGGGCCCTGTGCCTTGTACAAGGAACAGATGGAAGCCCATGCAATCAGAGGTTCGGGACCCTCTCGTGGGGGCTCAGGGAAGACTGGGGACCATGCAGCTTTCCCTCTGGCCCCACTGATATCCCGACTGACTCATCCTCAGCCTAGGCAACCTTGATAGTGGTCTGGTCAATCTTGATAGTGGTCTGGTCAACCTTGATAGTGGTCTGGTCAACCTTGATAGTGGCCTGGGCAACCTTGATAGTGGCCTGGGCAACCTTGACAGTGGCCTGCTGCTTCTTCCTCAATGCAAGGGGATGACTCTCAGAGGAAGTGCTGGGGTATCCAGGGATATCAGCAGAGATCATCTTGGGTGGCCCCTTGCTCGATCTCAGAGCCTCCTCCCAACCAGATGCCCAGGGCCTTGCCCTTCTAGGGTGGTGATGATTCTGTCAGCTTACTTACACTGTGGCCTGGGCAGCTTTGCCCTGCTGTCGGCGTTGTGTTATAAAATAGAGGAGGGCAACGCTGAACCCAAAGGATCAAGCGCTATTGGTGGAGACATTTGGCATGATGCCCCTGCCCACCATGTGTTCTGAGCCTGTCTTGGGCCCTAAGGCCCCTTCCTTCACGTTGCCATCTGCAGATGCCCAATGGACCACCGGCCTTCCGGGGACCTCTGAGCATGCTGGGCCCCTGCTCTTCCAGAATGGGGTGACCCCTGCCCTCTCTTTTCTCTCTAGGCCCTCAACCTGTTCTCAGCCTGTGGGTCGCAACTCTTTTGGGTGGTCAAACAACCCTTTCACAGGGGTCGCCTAAGACATAACAGTAGCAAAATTACAGTTATGAAGTAGCAATGAAAATAACTTTATGGTTGGGGTCACCACAACATGAGGAACTGTGTTAAAGGGTTGTGGCATTAGGAAGGTTGAGAACCACTGCCTAGGGGACAATATGAGAACAACCGTGTGTGTGTGTGTGTGTGTGTGTGTGTGTGTGTGTGTGTCCTGGCCACAGGCTTCTGACAGCTGCCCCATTGCTTCGTGGTGGTCTTTACTCTAAGCTTGGCATCCAGGGCCCTGGCAGACGCTGCTGCTTTTCTAACAACGGCCATTCCCAGGACCTCTGCTTCCACCCTTCTTCCTGCTGGTGCCCTTAGCCTTCCATCAGACAGAGACAATGCCAGGAGCTTGCTTTTCCAGTCCACCTTTATAGTAAAAGCCTTGTCATGTGACCCAATCCTAGACAAGAGGACCTGGTGTGGGCCGGGGCCGGGGGAGGGGAGATCTGCTGAGCTTCTGAGGAAATGGCCCCTTCTTTGGATGAGTGAGGGCATGTTGTCGACTGCTGTAGCAGCCACCTTGCAACCATGAGGAGCCAAGCCCAAAGGAGGAAAAATGGTTCTTAACCATACCATTGAGCTGCTAAATTAGCCAGCCTGGCAATGCCCTGATTCTGTTTGTTATGTGACAAAAGAAAACATTATGTGTGTCTGTGCACTTTAGCCTGTGGACTCTTTTGCTTGTAGCCAAGAGCACTCTAACTGACACAGAGACCCAACACATCCAGCGCCCGCCCGCCTGTCTTTTCAGCCTCATCTTCCGCGACTGCCCTTCCAGTGCAGGTGGAACATGTTTTGCTTGTCTGCTGCCTAGAAGGCTTCTCTGGTCTCTTCTAATTGGTGAACTCTTTTTTTTTTTTATCCTCACCCAAGGATATTTTTCTATTGATCTTTTTTTAGACAGAATGGGAGGGGTGAGGGAGAGAAAGAGAGAGAGAGACATTGGTGTGAGAGAGACACATGGACTGGTTGCCTCCCACATGACCCCCACCGGGCTGGGGATCAAACCCGCAACTCTTCGGTCTGCGGGCTTGTGCTCTAACCGCTGAGCCAAACCAGCCAGGGCTAATTGGTGAACTCTTAATGATCCCTCCAGCCCAGATCAAATGCTCCCACCTCTACAAAGCTTCTGAGCTCCCTCAGCCATAACTTATGGCCCTGTCTTGCTACTTGAATCCTGTCACTGTGGAATTTCCACATCATTCTCAGTCTGCCTGCTGGCAGGCCCCACCCTGCACCCTGAGCGCCTCGCCGGCAGGCGCTCCTTCGGCTGGGCTTCCCCTAGCACCGCCCCTGCATGCTGCAGGCGCTTAGCAAAAGCTGGCCGCTGACTGAACAGAAACTCTGCTCCCTCTGCCTCCTCCACCCCCAGCTCTCCTGATGATCGTGCCCAGGTGGGCAGAAAGGTGGCACATCGCTCACTTCCCAGGGAAAGGGATGCCTATGGTCACCCCACTGGTTGGGGCAGACTGAGGACTTCAGGTCTCCTGGCTTCTGTTCAGGGCTCTTTCCAGACAAGTGGGGAAAGCTGGGGATGTTTCCGAGCTGGCTTGACAGCTGTCCAAACTGACATGACAGTGCAGGAGGCAGGAGCTGAGGGGGCGGAGGGGCTGTCAGGTGCTGAGCAGTGCTGCCTGCCAGCCACTGCGGAGAAGAGAGGGTGAGGAGGAGGGGAGCTGGTGCCGGGCAGAGGCCGGGCCCTCCTCAAGTACACACCCCTCCTCTTACACTGGGCAAAGGTGCGGACCCTTGGGCTGGTGGGCTCAGGGTGCACGAGGATCCCTTTGGGCCTGCAACCAGAGCGCCTTGGAGGACTTTGAACTTGGAATGGTGCCTCGACTGTTGGGAGGTGGGCAGGGATCAGTGTCGAGAGCACCCTCCATTTCTGGGCTCCTGGGCTCCTGGGCTCCAGCCCCGCTCCCCTCCGCTGACAGAAGAACTGGCTAAGTGTGGCAGCCTGGAGCCCCCGGAGCCCCCGGAGCCCCTGGAGCTGGGGTCTGGAGTGCCGAGCTGCCCTGGCTGCAGCACTCAGCCTCCGGGCCTGGGCTCTGCGGAGCTTTGCCTTCCTCGGCGCGTCCACCAGGCAAGTGGGAGTGGAGAAGGCACGAGGGAAAAGGGGAGGGCTCAGAAGCTGCAGCTAGCAGTTTTATTTACTAGGTTTTTAAAGTGCTTTAAAAACTGCTAGAGAACATCTCTTAAAAACAAAACAAAACACTTAACTGTTCCAGACAATGCTAAAGTGTCTTTTAACTACCTCCTCCTCCCCCAAACAAGTTTCTGTCCCCAGAGGTAATGACTTCAGCTAGTGTTACTTTTAAAATCAAGATAACACATGCTGCCCTGGCCAGTGTGGGTCAGTCGGTTGGAACATCGTCCCATGTTCTAGAAGGTCACGGGTTCGATTCCCAATCAGGGCACCTACCCAGGTTGTGGGTTCAATCCCCAGTCAGGTTCATGCGGGAGGCAGCCACTCAATGTTTCTCTCTCCTCTCTCTCTCTCTCTCTCTCTCTCTCTCTCCCTCTCTCTAAAACCAATAACAAAATTAGAAAAAAAAATACATTCAAAAATGTATACATGTTCATGGTAACAATTAAGGTAAAACCAAATGTCTAAGATAAACTGTCTCCCTCCCCCAAATCATCATTATTAACAATTTGGGGGTATTCCTCTGGGTCTTTTAAAATTGCAGGCATAATGCCCTGGACGGTTTGGCTCAGCAGTTAAAGCGTCAGCCCATGGACCAAAGAGTCGCAGGTTCGATTCCGGCCAAGGGCACGCACCTCAGTTGCGGTTCATCCCCAGCCCTGGTTGGGGTCGTGCGAGAGGCAACCAGTCGATGTTTTTCTCTCTCTCTCTCTCCCCGCCGCTCTTCCACTCTATCTAAAGATAAATGGAAAAAAATATTCTCAGGTGAGGATTAAAAAAAATAAATAAATAATAAAATAAAATTGCAGGCATGAGATATCTGCTGCTCCTCATAACGCAGTCATCATGTCCTGCACAGACGTCCCGCTGTGCCTGCAGCCCTGCCCCGGTGTCGCCCCAGTGCCCTCAGAGGGCGTGCCCAGAGCAGCACACACCCCTGCGCTTGGAGCACCTCTCCCTGGGGTGCAGTGGTGTGTTCTTACCCCTGAGCTTTGAGTGCCCAGCCAGCCCCCTGAGGTGGACCACTGTGTGATTCCCTTTTCCTGGACACCGGGGAGGAGCCCGGGGCCCTGGTTCCCCACCATGGGCAGGTGCAGTCAGCACTCCCAGGGGCCCGGGTGGCTGAGCAGGCAGATGACATTCGTGGGAACCTGGAGCAGCCCTGGGTTCGCACTGCCACCACCTCGCTACTGGTGACCTCAGGCAGGCACTGGTGAGGCTGGGTATGGAATGGAGCCCACCCAGTCCCTTCCAGCCTCCCCAAAGATGGGCAGGGGCTGGCATCTGCTTCGCTGTGCCTTTCCTAGCAGATGGTAATGCCCCCCACCACCACCTGCCCCATGTGGTCCAGAAGCCTCTGGGGCGGAATCCCAGCAGGACACCACCTCACCCTGCACCCCGCCCCCTCATTTTACTTCTCCATTCATTCTAATCCCGTGAGTTCCCCAGCGATGTGATTGTCACTGTGTGGCCAGCAAAGCCCAGCAAAGGGGGCCAAGATCAAGGACCCTTCGAGCCAGCTTTGCGGCTCCCCTATTTCTCCCTCCTCTGCTGCTACTGGTTCAAAAAATACAACACCCACTGCACCAAAAAGTATTAATAAAAAAATGAAAAATATATTATTCCTGGGAGGTAGGTCTTTTCCAACAGGGGGCAGCCGAGTTAGAGCCGAGTCTGGCACAGCAGGGGTGGGCTGGGTTATTAGTATTTTCAGTTTTTCCCCACAAGTTGCCTCCAGTATAAATACATTCCTGCTTGTGACCTCCAAGCGCTTTGCTGGTAATTAAAGCTGCTATTTGTTAGTATTTCCTTTGTCTGTTTGCCTGTTTGTTTGTGTGTAGTCATTGCTGGGGGTCTCAGTGACAGGATGTGACAGTGGAGGTCAGAAGAGGGACATGGCCACGAGGTCAGGAGGAGCTGCCCCAGCAGCTGGCAGCCGACCAGGAAGGCCAAGCAGCCTGGGTCAGACCCTTCCCGGACCAGCCATCCGCCGAGCTCAGTGGCGCACTGAAGACCCCGCTTCTGCTGCTTTTCTCAGGACACGGGGAGGTGTTCCATCAAAACAAGAGACCAGAACAAGAGCCATCCTAGCAGGCAGTGCCCAGGCCCGTCACTGGCCAGTTTCCTGAAAGTCATCCCTCTTCCTCCATCTTTGCTCCACAAGAAGTGTCCAGGCTGGGCTGGGGGCACCAGGGAGAAACGAGGTCAGTGGAAGGGGGACAAACCCAGACAGCCCAGCCTGAGTGGCCCCTGGGGAGAGGAGGAGCTGAGGGATGAATTCAGGATTCAGGTTCCCAAGGCACCTTGGTTGGGCCCTGTTTTGGCACCTGGCAAGGGTCCAGTTGTGCAGGCAGCCACTGCTCAACCAAAAATATGGTAGC